TTTAATATCATGTTCAATGATAACAAATATGTATCTGCGATGTTTTATGGTTATAAAAACATCGCAGATACATATTATAGTATCATAGTATTTAGTAATCTTTTAGCTACAAAACAATTTGAAACAACAGGTCCTCCATTTTTCAATGCGCAGCTGCATTAAATAAGCACAAATTGTAAGTGAAGCTGGGGGTTTATTATCACATATGAAAAGATCATGTCAATTTCGCCGTCTTGATCAAAGTTCCTAGACAAATCACATATTGAAATATTCGGCTCATTGAGTAATCTTTAACTGCAGAAGGTTTTACTTAGTATAAATAGTTTCGTAACAGGGTTTTCTCGGAGCCGTGTCCAGAGAATTATTTTCATCAGTCAGCACCAGTTACTCAAAAATGCTTCGTTATTAAAAATGTCCTCGCTTTAAGATTTTGAAATAGATTTAGTTTTAAAGTTTCAGTTGTTGTTCTGTGCTGAACCTTAAAGAAATCCTCATTTTAAATCTCTATAACTGAAATGTCACATATTAAGTTTTCCGGTTGTAACTGAAAATTCAATTGTCCAGAATGTTGTTGCTTGACTTCACGGTAATGTTCCTGTTTTTAACTCAAAGTGAAGTGCTCACTTGAAGTAAGGTTAGAAGTCGAGGTTAATTAGATTATTGCCGGAATAAATTTTTTGATATGTATAATAGCTAGAATTTCCCTCCTTTATTTCCATCTTTGTACACCTGTAATTTATATTTGGTTTTTAAATCTTTATTTACCCACCGGTTCTTCAGTGTTACAGCTTGTTTTTAGGACCTATTCGATTTTCACATTGATCTCTGTTCTTTATTTTTAGCCTCATAAAGTGTTCTATTTAGACTTTACTTAAATGTACTTGCATTTTCATAAATACTTTCATTTTCTTCTACATAATCAGCAAATTTTACAACTAAAAATAATCCTGCCTATCACTTAATTATCTGAACACTCGCTGTCATCGTAAAGTTTGCGTATGTGGTGAATCGTAATCAACTTGTTACATACTGTGAGTTAATAAATGATCCTGCAACAATTTCAACCAATTTAGTATAGCTTCGAAGTATTTTCGATGATGGCAGATCTTCCCTATGAGATTCAAACACTCGACTCTAAGTGTCGCGATCAGATATATGAGGATCGAAATGTTTGGGGCAGTCATTGAATGTATGTATGGCCAACACTTTCGCTGTTCATTAGAGCACAAAGAGCACCTATAGGATGGGAATCATGGATTCAGAATAATCAAAACATTTTTCTAAACAGGGATGATGGAGATCACAATTAATATTATCCAGTGCTATGCATCTATCAATGATAACAATGAAAATGACAAAGACCGGTTTTACGAGAGGCTGCAATCGATGGCAGAGATGCACTCAGGAAAGAACTTGACCATTCTGATGGTAGACCTAAACGCCAAAGTTAGAATAGACAACAACTGACAATAAGATAACATGGGCGACATGGGCTGGGTGGCGCAGGTGCATCCACTCATTGTGTATTCCCAAATTCTAATCTCCTGAATCCTCCTTGTCTCTTTTTTTCTCTTTCCAAATTTGTTTCACTGGATTATACTCTTTAGATAACATCTCCAAACCCTAATGTTTCCGATTACTGCTTATAATTTTACTACCTCTACCACTACGGGATTTGAATCGACAACTGCATCTCTGTGCTAATGTGGTATGGCAACTCGAACTGATGTACGTGCGTACGAAGTTTTACGTCACTGACTGACTGACTGGGCTGGGAGAAAAGAAAGAGAATGGCGAGACATTTGTGTGCATTCAACAAAATGGTTATAGGTGCTACCATATTCCCCCACAAATGCATACACACAGCCACATGGGTTTCACCGGATCACACCACAGAGAACCATATCAATTATAAGTGTATCACTAAAAAATTCAGAAGGTCAGTGAAAGATGTAAGAACCAAGGAAGGAGCTAATATAACTTCATATCCTACCTGATGATTACCAAGCTGAAATTGGAGCCAAAGAAGCAGTGGAGCAAGGTCATACAAGTCGTTGTTTTGATTAACGATTTTGTCACGTGATATTTTTGACGGTTTATAGGACATAACATTTGTCTGAATAAAAACATTTACTGTTTGCCTTTCCGTTGATCTTATGATTGAAATCTCTCAATATACAATTCAGTTTTTTTATCACTCCCTGGGTTACACATGAGAACTCACCTAAATAACAAATTAGAATCTCAGTGAATATACTTGCTACAATTCAAAAGAAAAACTAGTTAATTTTTAAAACAATCATTCCTTGTTGTTTGAATAATGAATGTGTATATCCGTATCGGTTCTGAAGAATACTAGGATTGAAAGTTCACGAATATTATGACTAATTATACAAATCCCTATCTAGACAAAAAATAAAATCCTAATGATAGAAGCGTTTACAAAATTTTCTTGTATTTTTTAAAGTAGATGAAGAATTCCTAGTTATAGCGATAAATTGATCTTAGAACTGTAAAACTTTTAAACTAGTGACCAAGTTAAATTATTTGGTGAAAGTTAGGTCTAAATATAGACCTAAAGCTAGTATTTCGTTTAAGTTTATGAGAATAATCTTTTTAAAACATTTATTCCAATTGAATATAATATAGTCCAAAATACGTTAATATATGTCATTATTTCTTTAATATTTCATTAACTTCAATTACATTTCTAAACACCGGCTATTTACATTATGATTCCTTTAAAGTATTTAAATATTGAGCGTTTATCTGCCCCCATCTACCAGATATACAGTATCATAGACATGACAGCAATATAATTAGCTTTTACATAATAAGTATGACTGATTAACCAGGATTAAAACCTATCTAAAGCTATTTAATTCCAAATATTAATTCATATATGAAGAGTATTATCTGTCTTGGCACATAAGTGACTTACTATTGAGCGTATAGATATGTTTATTTGCTCTTAAGCTTCTATTTTCACTTGACTAACTACATATGGTATCACACATTTTATTTTATATTTATTTATCTAAACACATGAGCATTGGTACAAGTAGGCACGAAATAGATATACGCCACATAAATCATTCGATTTGTGTGAGGGCTGGTATACTGCCCAGGTGTCCAAACCGAAGCCGGCGGGGGGCATACCCGGAGTCTTTGACCTAAAGATCTGATCTACAAGGAAGTGGAGCAACGTTAGGAGATGCAGTCCCATGGTAGTCAGTGGCCAACGATAGGTCCATACTCCATCTGGTCCTTCAGGATCCTGGAGTTCATATGCATCATTGGTTTTTAATCAGGGTTTTCCAACTCCCTTTGGTGAACCCTCTGAGTCCATCGACCCGGTTAAAGCACCGGACATTCGCTTTTCGTCCTCTCGATTTCGTAAACAACAGTGATGCCGCGAGAAGGCATTGAGTAGGACTTCCCTGACAGTGGTTGTATGCACGTGCCCATGTGAGAGAATTTCAAGAAGCAGGGCTGGTTCTCCCCACTCTCGGCCGTACCAGGATATTTGGGAGTATGATATCACATTATGTTTTAGATTACTTGAGATTAGGCGAAATATATGTAAATCATCTATCCGAAAAGTGTGTATAATATTTTCAGAAATTCTTGGCGAGACTATGATTTATGGACGAAGCAAACAGATTTACAATAATAATGGCTCAAAATTAATTCATTCATTTAACTAAATATAGTTTTGGTATTATAGCTGATATCAGTTCGTTATGAAAACCTTATATTTGATTCCTAACCTTATTTATCAACTGTAAATCATAATTCTAATTCCTCATACTGGTTTATAACCCTCATTTTATTTGATTCCGTAGACCGCGAGATTCTGGCAGTGTCTGTCATTGAAAGGCGTACTTCAGAAGTACATAAATCTTGTGAAGGCTCTTTACTCCAACACTACTAGTCGAGTCAGAGCTTATGGCGAACTGTCATCTGCTTTTGCAACCTCAAGTGGTGTCCGTCAAGGCTGTCCACTTTCTCCATTTTTGTTTAACTTCATTATAGACCTATTGATGGAAATAACACTCTCGTCGACTGAATTCTCGGGTATTGATCTCCTTCCAGGAGGTCCACTTATCGACTTAGAATACGCAGATGACATAGTCCTGTTTGGTGAAGACGCTGATAAAATGCAGAGTCTTTTGGTAGCACTGAGCAACAATGCCAGATTGTTTGGAGTGCGATTCTCTCCCTCTAAATGCAAGATGTTGCTTCAGGACTGGTCTGCGTCAACACCTGAACTAAGGATAAGGAATGAAGTAGTCAAACACGTTGACAACTTCACTTATCTTGGAAGTCTGATCAGCCCTAATAGGTTAGTGTCTGACGAAGTCTCAGCACGGATTCGAAAAGCTCGTTTGGCTTTTGCAAACTTTCGTCACCTATGGCGAAGGCGAGATATCCGTCTATCAATAAAGAGACAAGTATACTGCGTGGCAGTCCATTCTCTTTTAATTTACGGCAGCGAAACATGATCATTAAGAGTAGAAGATACTCGTAAGCTACTAGTGTTTGACCACAGATGCCTTGGAAATATTGTTGGCTAAGAGATTAAAATCGCTTCATATCTTTCTTTCTACGAACTAATTCTTTCTTCCTGTACTATATCTTTTTATGCAATCTTTCTTTTATATATTACCACCATTGAATTAACTACTTCTATGAATTTGGTGTTCATCTTGTTGTTGAGATATGGCAAGTTCGACCGAAGCATATATGTGCCTGGTCCTACGTTGTGGCTGACTGACTGACTTATAACCCTCATTTAGTCGTAGTATGTGGGTGGACATTCTCTAGATCTCTTTAGAGTCGCTCACCGAATTGATGAATATTTATCGTTGATTTTTTCTCTCTATTTTTCAGCTTTTTAGAATTTTCTCAATTTATATAATTGTGCAATACATTTGATTATGTAAGTTCATTTATTTAATATGATGATAACACTTGTCTTTTGTTTTAGGGATAATTCAATGAAACTTTTACAAGTTCAAGTATTCTTTCGTCATGGTGCAAGAACACCTTTATTTCATGTTAAATCATCTATTTTCCCTGAAGTAAAATTATATTATCATAATTATGGTATTTTATTTATTTATTTTCCTCCTCCCTCCCTCCCTCCCTCCTCCCCCTCCTCATTCTCTTACTCCTCCCTCTCCCTCCCTTAGGCTATATGGTCTCCAGAACTATCTACAGATTTACCACATACATTATTTCCTTATCGTTTAATTGATATATCTACCCAGAAACAAACTCAATTATCATCTGATTATTTAGATAAATTATTTGTATTACCTGTAAGTACATTAAATTTCATTATTATTATTATTATAATATAAAATTTTTTTTATTTTTAGGGTGGTAATAAAGTTGGTGAATTAACTAAAACTGGTCAACAAGATGCATATAATTTAGGTATACGTTTAAAAAAACAATATAAAGACAATTATAATTTTATTTCATATCAATTTCAACCATCACAATTTCAGTAGGTCTATTCAATATTACTTATAATGATAATATTATTATTTTCTTTTTAGTTTAAGAACTACTTTCATTGCTAGAACTATTAAATCATTACGTTGTGTTATGGCTGGTTTATATAGTGATAATATATCATTAAGTAAGTAGGATTTATACAAACTAAATAACTAATCTACCCATATATTCATGTTCCCTTTTTCCACAATCTTTGATTTAACTTATTGACCACTCTTATACGATTCTTAATTTATCACCTGCTCACTAGTGACTGACTTCAGGAGTCCAACCAAGTCTTTTGTGAGATAGGAACTCACTGAAGACAATGGTGTATGGTGGCGCAACTTCATGGATTGGTTGAAGTTAGACATTAACACCGTTGGATGCTGGCTCAATGGCCTAATGGTTAAGTGCTCGCACGCGAAACCAGTAGGTCCTGGGTTCGAATCCCGCGGGGTGCGGGGTCGTGGATGCGCACTGCTGAGGAGTCCCATACCGGGACGAAACGGCCTTCCAGTGCTTCCAGGTTTTTCATGATGGTCTAACTTCAATTGACTCATGATTTCAACTTGTGAAATTTCTTAATTTATTCCCAATCTATTAGTTACAATCGTCTATACTCACAACTACGTTTGACTTAATCTTGTATCATTATTATTTTTCATTTTGTGGTGTGTTGCGGTCTAGTCTACTTGTATATCAAATATGTATGTCTGAAATATACGATTCACACAGCGGAGGCTGTGAGAAAGCGTTTGACTTTGTGGATAGAAATACATTATAGAACCTTTTTACCTTCGAAATCCTGACAAACAAATCCTGTTAAGGGATTTTTGTACAGAAGTATGTCTTGGTTGTTTATGTGAAGATATCAACGTTACATTCCTAAAAGCACTATTGAATCATTCAGTATGTGTAAGTGCAGTTTCTGTATTGCAGAGCCTATTAATAACTTTATGAAATAAAATGTGTAAACTTTTCCAAGTCTATACTGGAGTACAATCTCTAATTAGTTTAACAAGTGGATAATGACATCCAATATTATCAGTTGTATGACTATGATTTTACACCTTCGTGATATGCCTTAGTAATTAACAAAACCATGTATCGCTATTTGACTGATCGATTCTCTTAAGTTGATGAAGATTTACTACTTATTCAACTGATTTTCCATCTTTACTTGGTATTCTACTCCTAGCCCAGTATTGCTTATTCCAAAGTTCCGAAATACACTAACAATGCTTCAAAGACACCGATGGTCGAATATCAGTAACTTATGAATATCCTCTACTCTTATTAGCCATGTTTTACACCTATAAATTGAAACGGGGCGAACTGCTATTCAGTAAACTTGTACATGGTAGACAAGTGAATTCTGTATAACTCCTAGTAGATGTATGTTGTAATAAAGTAGGATATTGCGAAGTGCATATTGCAGTTGCATTATTAATTGTCAGGATTACAAATTTGCATTAGTAAATAGTTCTGGCTAACGGATTTGGGAAGTGGGAAACAGTCCTATGTATTTGCTATTTGTTAGTAGTGTATGCTGTTATATCCGAACAAAGAATAAATGAATGGTAATTGCTATGAATTATTGGCGGACATTCATTACATATATCCTTATTAATTGATTATTAAGTAACTAGTCTACACATATATTCATGTTCTCTTTTTCCACGATCTTTAATTTAACTTATTGACCACTATTATACGATTTACAATTCTTAATTTATTCCCAATCTATTAGTTACAATCGTCTATACTCACAACTACTTTTGGCTTAATCTTGTATCATTATTTTTCATTTTTTGGTGTGATGCGGTCTAGTTTACTTGTATATCAACTACGTATGTCTGAAATATACGATTCACACATAAGAGGGTTGATATTTATGTTCTGAACTGAATGAATCGGTGAATAGTTGAGAAGTTGTCATATAGAGAACCGATGAGAACTCAGAGTGGACTCGAGATTGTTAATACTGTTTGATGCATTATTGATTTAGCACTGAGACAAGGTCATACAAGTCAACATCATCAAAGTCAGTCAGTTACCCGATCGAATCTGCTACCTTGACGCGGTGGTCGGGCTTGCCTATCGTGATGACCCAACCGAGCTATATTGGCTGGAACATATGTTCCTGCAGGTTCTACCATGCCAGGCAGGTCGATTGGTGAACGGTAAGACTAAAAGCAGCAACTCAAGGTCTGAGGGCGAAGTCGTACTGCTGACTGTAGAGAGGTGTGACAGCAGTAAGGTGTTTCCCTCGGACATCCAGCATGACAGCGATGCTGCCTTCCCACAAGGAGGGGTGGGGTTAGAAAAGGTCGACCCTAAAAATGTCACACCTCACCTTACCTCACAGATTTCCGTCTCCGGCGGTAAGGCCCTTTGAAGAACGGAGCTAACACGTCAAAAACCTCCCACAAAAAGGCCGTGCGCGACCGGCCTCAAGCAGTTGTCCCTTGGGCTCTGCGGTCACGCTCTCAGGTCGTCAAGACCAACACTAATCCAATTTCCTTTTCAGGTTCCTCAAGAAATACCCTTCCACAGTGTGGGCAGCCGGGAAGTGATATCAGCCCTCATACCCGTAACAGCACAAGATAACTGACTGACTTTGATGATGTTGATATTCTATCATTAAGTATATAGAAATAATCTAGTGAAATACTACTTTTTGTTGTTGTTGTTGTTTCCATTAGCTGAACCTGTTAATTTTCAATGTGATCAATTAACTAATGAAATACTTTTTCCAAATCCACATACATGTCAATTACTTACACAATTATTCAATGATGGTATTATTGAATGTAATGAATCAAAAACATTTCAAGAAATGAAACAAAAATTAAAAAATATTTTAGGTAAGTATAATTATCATTATTTTTTCTAGTGTAAAAGATGTTCCACTGTGATACTTACTTATCCATGTTAATCCTTGTGGTGGAGGATAGGTTATTCACTAACATTCTCTATTCAACCCTGTCATAAGTGTAAAAGATATCATTTCATTTTTATATTATACTTAAGTTCTTATTTAAATCTTATTTGTTTTATTATACTAGTTTCTGTTCAATGAAAACCCTCCTGGAGACTATCTGGGGCTACTTTCATTTCCAAGCCCAGATAAAAGAGGAGGGTTGGCTATGGGGTTAGAGACCACATCCCGTAGAAAACTGACTTGCTAAAATAAACGCTTACCAGAAAAAATAATTCAAACCATTTAAACTATGTCTTTTGGAGTTAGAGGATCTTCAGTTAGAAGAGTTATGACGCCTTGTGGTGAAAGTCGAGATCCTTCGAAAATCACGAGGCTGATGTCTCTTCTGACAATCGGAGCAACCATTTATTTAGATACATGGAATGCTCTTACAATTTGGGAGACCGGGAGAGTCTTCCAAATTGCTATTGCTGTTCAATAAGTATGCGAACGATGGTCATACTTACATAGTTACTTACTTACACCTGTTACTTCTCGTGGAGGAGTATAGGCCACCCACCAGCATTCTCCATCTAACCCTGTCTTGAGCAATCTTTCCCAGTTGTTATTCATCTTTTTCATATCTGTTTCTATCTCCCGACGTAATGTGTGATTATACCTTTCCCTTCAGGATTTCAAGTTAGGGCTTGCCTTGTGATACAGTTTGATGATTTCCGTAATGTATGTCCTATTTATTTCAATCGTCTTTTTCTAATTTTTTCTTCAGCTGGAAGTTGGTTTGTTCTCTCATATAATAGGTTATTGCTGATGGTATCCGGCCAAAAGATGTTGAATATCTTGAATAGACAACTATTTATCAATACTTGTACCCTTTTGATGATGGTTGTGGTAGTTCTCCAATTTTCAGCTCCGTATGGTAGAACTGTCTTGACGTTCATATTGAACATTGTGACTTTGATATTGGTTGATAGTTGTTTTGAGTCCTATACGTTCTTCAATTGTAGGAATGCTGTCCTTGTTTTGCCAATCCTCGCCTTTATGTCTGCATCTGATCCTTCTTGTTCATCAATGATGCTTCTCAGGTACTTGAAGGATTCTACATCTTCCAGAGTGTCACCATCAAGTGTGATTATGTTAGTGTTCTAATTGTTTTATTTAAGGATCTTAATTTTTCCATTGTGTTATTCGAGGCCTACTGAACGAAGGTCATACATTACATATTTTAAAAACTGTAGGAAACATCATTCTTATCCTATTTAAAATACTTCCCACTTGTATCAGTGAACTTATCCTATATCCGTTTTCACTATTTAGAACATCCATAAAAATGCTTCGAAGTTAGGCTCTTCAGTCGCTTCATCATCATCTCATCCTTTTTTTTCACGATCCCAAATATTTTATTATGATCACTCGTATAGATCATTTTTATAAATTCGATTAGTCAATAAACATTTTGATCATGAATGGGCTATTTGAATATGCAAGTTATTGCACATGTTCAGCAATTACATCAACACAGTTAACCAATGTTCATCATGATCTTTATTCTTGTAAACTCTATAGCATACACTGAAACTTTAGATCCATTTAGAATAAGTTGTTCTATCCAATACGCTATCTTCACTGGTAACTTGTGGTTTGAATATAATTCAATCTACGTAGATAGCTCATATAAGTTAAGTAATTAATTTATAGTTATAAACCGTTTACCATGTACACAATCGTGTGTTTGAGTTTGAGTTACATTTCTTATATAGATGTTAATATTACTACTATCAACACTACTTCTCCAACTACTATTAATACTACTTAATTGCTTAAAATGACTTGGATTAGAGTTGGGACTTACTAAACAATGGTTAAAAGGATAATGTTTTTCCCATTTCAACATACTATCTCATCTAAATACTAAGACGCATTTACAATCTAATGCATTCTGTGTTTAACATCCTATCACTTAGTTGCATGTTTCAATTCAATTATAATTACCCTGGCTCAAACAGTTAAGTAGTGTCTGTTTAACATCCCTTCACCACTGCCCTCCAAATATATACACAATTTGCTAACGAACTCGAACTAAGTTAATGAGTTTAATTTAGTTGTTTTCCATTAGATCCTCATCAGACTTTAATATACAGTAATACGACATTATTAAACTAATCAAGGCAGTTTATGAGTCAATGATAACAATCGAATAGATTACATACCTAAAGAAGTGAAAAGTACAAATTAGTAGTATGATGACAGGTGTACCAATTGTGATAAGAATAATAAAGGCTTGAATCAATGTTACATAATTGGAAATAGGTCAATGACTAAACACTGAAGTAACATTCATAAAAATTATAAGATTACGCAATAAGAAGTGTTCAGATAATAGGACTGTGAAACGTACATTTAAAGTTAGATATTAACACTGTTGGATACCGGCTCAGTGGTCTAATGTTTGAGCGCTCGCACACAGGACTGATGGGTTATGGGTTCGGATCTCGTGGGGGGTGGGATCATGGATGCTCACGGCTGAGGAGTCCCCTACTAGGGCAAAACGACCGTCCAGTGCTTTCAGGTTTCTCATGGTGGTCTAACTTCAGTTGACTCATGATTTCAACTATTGAAATTACTAAAATCTCCACAAAGCCCTTTCTGATAAAGAAGAAAAAATAGACAAAGAAAGAGTTGAGGAATCATCATAGATCGGATCGAGTACGATAGACAGAAGTTGGCTGCATTAAACGTTCTCTTCATTAGTCTATCACGTAGTACATAACTAGCTACATCTCCATTGAATTGCAACTTCAGGAAACCCTGTAGATAACTCATTTCAATCAAGATCACACTACTAATTTGTACTTTTTATTTCTTTAGTTATGTAATCTATTCGATTGTTATCAATGATTCATAAACTGCTTTGATTGGTTTAATAATTACATATTACTGTATATTAAAGTCTAATGAGGATCTCATTGAAAACAATATTGTTCTCTTCTATATATTGTACATATGTATTTAACACATTTACATAACTAACAATACAAAATATCTATGTAGAAGTGCAATACAATTAAGTGCAAATAAATGTCTATACCCTATCAATGACTTATTTCATGAATAAAAGATTATTTAGGATAGTTGGATATTGACACGCCCAATGCATATATATTATAGTTGATGCGATTCAGTTCTAAATGGAGCATAGGCCACTGACCAGCATTCTCCAACCCACTCTGTCCTGGGCCTTCTTTTCTAGTTCTATCCAATTCTTGTTCATTTTTCTCATGTCTACCATGGGACTGCATCTCCTGATGTTGCTCCATTGCCCTGTGGATCAGAGCTTTAGGTCGAAGGCTCCGGGTGTGGTCTCCTAAGAAAACCACCTGCTTCGGTCTGGGCACCCGGGCAGTATCACAGCCCTCACACATATCTAATGAGATCTGTGTAGTGCATATGTATTTGGCGCCTATTTGTACCAATATTTATGTTTTAAAATAAATGAACCGGTGAAGTTCAACCACGTCTATTGTGAGATGGTGTATGTGTCGCTCAATTACGTGGATTAGTTGAAGTTAGACAATAAAAGCGTTGGATGCCGGCTCAGTGGTCTAGAGGTTAAGCGTTCGTGCACGAGACCGATAGGTCTTGTGTTCGAATCTCGTGAGGCGGAATCGTAGATGCGCACTGCTGATGAGTCCCATATTAGGACGAAACGGTCATTCAGTGCTTCTAGGTTTTCAATGGTGGTCTAGCTACAATTAACTAATGATCTCAACTATTGAAATTACTAGAATATTCACAAAAATCCCTTCTGATAATAAAATATACAGTGTATAGAATGTAAATGTTCAGATGGCAGGGATTTGTGGCTCAGGTGAATGGTTTTAGTGGAGTTTCATTCTTTATGTTGGGTAGTTTTGTTATGGAGCTTTCATTTTTCTTTCGAATAACATCAGCACAAATGTCAGGTAGAAGTGAAGTATTTTGATTTTTCTTCTTATATGGCTAACAACTTGTCTTGTCGAATTCGATCTTGATTGCTTACTGTTCACTTTTAATCTGTTATTATTTGCATATTTGTTTTAATTGTGTCTCCCTTCGATTTGATTCTTGATCCGAAAAATGGAAGGTCTAATAGATAAGTTTCATTACTTAGTGTAATGAAAATCTAAGAGGTTTGGTGATAAAGAAGGTGTGAACTGAACTCATTCTATTATACGACATGATCTAAGAAGTAACGTGCGTGTAATGAATGCATTCATTCATTGAAATACTTTAAAATTTAAAGGAATCATTGAATACACAAGATAGTTATGTTTCTAATGATGATTTATACGATTTCAAATAAATACTCCTTATGTAATAAGTATTCCTTAGTACTGAGTGTATACAATCTAATACGGAATCGAATTATCTCATATCATTTAATTTAATGAAATTGTTAACTTGTATTATCAGAAAGTAGGTTTTACGGAGATCATAGTAATTTAATAGTTGAATTCATTGATCAATCCTAGTAAGATTATCATGAAAAACCTGGAAGCACTGAATGGATATTTCGTCCTAATATGGTACTTCTTAACAGTGCACATTCCCATGATCCCACCTATCTGATTCTCTTATTAAACATGATTAAACTGTGTACTGTTTGGGTTATCATCACACGAAGATCTGGATGATGTCTGGTTTTACTAAAAATCAATGTTAAATTACCCTAATCCACAAGGGTATATTATTATAACTTATATGGTATTGTAAAGATGTTTTCCTAGTGTATTTAATAAAATTTTTAATTCCTGATAAAATCTATATATTTAAAACAATAATGCATTTTTATCAGTATAGGGTTGTGCAGATTACTAAGTTTTTGATTCAGATTATGAACCGATTAATGTTTGACCATCATTGGAAATCTAGAAACACTGGACGGCT